CTTCCGATTTGGATCTGTAAATAACCGTTAATCATTTTGTTTCATTCTAATGGTTTATGGTGTAATCTAGTTTAAGTATCTCTAAGAGCTTTTCCTTTTGGATTATTCATTCGCTCGATTTTTGAATCAGGAAGAGTTGTATAATCCTAAAGTCTTAGACTTTGTCTGGAAATAAGAAACTGTCTTTCTGTTCTGATGCTGATATGTTATAGAATGGAAAGGCTTCCCATTGTTGCTGACCCTGGAAACTGATTGTTGCTCTGTTGCAAATGGTTATGATTTTTCAGAATGGCTGCTGCTGCTGTATCTCACCATGGCATTGGGGCCATTTCGTCTCGTGGGCATTCCAAAATCTCCGTGTCTAACTCCATGAAATCTGTTAATAAAGGATTCAGGATTGATATGAGGCCAATTTTCAGCTCTAAGAAGAGAAGCTTCTGCAGGATAGAAGCGGCTGTGTCTCAAGCTTCTTCTCCCTCTGACACACTGTTGTCTCCTTCCATGGACATCCCCGACGAATCTCAAAAGAAATCGAGTATGTTAGTTCTCTAGAATTCATTCATGAGGAAGCACCAGTGGCTATATATTCTTTGGTCGTTCAGTAGAGCGACTTGATCCAGGAAACAAGTTTATCGAGTGTTTGTTTGATATGCCAGATGAAGCAGCTCTGATATTGATTCGGCATGGAGAGTCATTGTGGAACGAGAAGAATCTTTTCACGGGCTGTGTTGACGTGCCATTGACAGAGAAAGGCGTGGAAGAAGCCATTGAAGCCGGTAAGAGAATAAGCAACATACCCGTCGATGTGATATTCACATCGGCTCTAATCCGTGCCCAGATGACCGCCATGCTTGCAATGACTCAGCACCGTCGCAAGAAGGTACAAAATAGCCGAAAAACGAAAAAATTTCTAACCTTTAAGCTGCTCGAAGATTATGACATGATGTTCCATGATGTCTGATTCGTTGATAAAAAAACAAAACCCTTTCAGGTACCGATCATTCTGCACAACGACAACGAGCAGGCAAGAACTTGGACTCGGGTTTTCAGTGAAGAGACTAAGAAGCAATCCATCCCCGTGATTCGGGCATGGCAGCTGAACGAAAGAATGTAAATGCAAGAACCCGGAATCCTCCATGTTTTTTGTGCCATTGCCTTTCAAAGTTTCAACCTTTTTTTCTAAGAACTTTATCTGATTCCCTGTTCGGGTTTTAGGTATGGGGAATTGCAGGGTCTCAACAAGCAAGAAACGGCGGAGAGATACGGGAAAGAGCAAGTTCACGAGTGGAGGAGGAGTTATGATATTCCTCCTCCCGACGGCGAGAGCTTGGAGATGTGTGCTGAGAGAGCAGTGGCTTATTTCAAGGACAATGTACGGAGATTCTTTCTCTTGCAACTTCTCTATATCACTTTCTTGATTCATAACAAAAAAATCAATCTCTAATCTTTTTATCGAAACGGAATGCCAGATTGAAATGCAGCTTGCATCTGGAAAGAACGTTATGATCGCTGCTCATGGAAACTCGCTCCGGTCCATCATAATGTATCTCGACAAGTTAACTTCACAGGAGGTGATGAAAACTGCTCAAAACTTCATTCTTGATTACATTTCGGGTTTTTAGCAAATTTTTGCTGATACCGAAATCTTTGTTTTGCTTGCGGTTGTGTTAAATTCGTACTTGTTCTTGTAGGTTATAAGTCTCGAGCTATCGACCGGTATACCTTTGCTTTACATCTTCAGAGAAGGAAAGTTCATGAGAAGGGGAAGCCCCGTCGGTCCTACAGAGGCCGGTGTCTATGCTTATACAAAGGTTTCGTTATCGTTTCACTCGGTTCTCCGTTGTCATGGTTTTCGGTTTATTGTCAAGAATTGCTGACAGATCCTTTCCGGGTTTTTTTTTCTTCAGAGATTGGCTCAATACAGACAGAAGTTGGATGAGATGATGATGAACTAGTTCTTGTCTTTCTTGAAGTATACTCTACTCTACTATACAGTGAGTTCAAAGACCAGTTCTTGTCTCTTCCCCTCAGTTTAGGATCTTCAGCCATTAGAAAGAAAATCCAGGTTTTGTTTTGGATTCATTCTTCCTTCTTGGCTTACTCTATATGAGGAGGAAGAGAGAGAGAGAGAGTTTAGGGTTTCTTCTGGTTTTTCATCTGTGTCATATCCATGTCCGGATGTTGTTGTATGACATCACCGTCTTTGATGAAAACGTTTTCAGACAATCTTCTTCCAGCTACTGAGATCACGTTTCTTGACCTGAATCTGAATTACCATATGTTACGGGCCGAAGCCCAATCCATCATTATGGGCCAACGCCACGCCCAATATTGAAACGGGCCAACAAGATGATGGGACCGCTTCTTTTTTTTTTTTTTAAATGTCTAATTAAAATATAAGATAAGGGTGAGATGTGTATAAAAATGAAAATGGTGGGCGAAAAGTCATATAAATGGAAACCGTCCGACCAATCATTCGAAAGTAAAAAGGATAAAATAGTTATTAGGGCAAATAAATAAATAAATAAAAAATCGATGTATATCCTTACAAGCAACCTGTGATCTCGGTTACAAACTTATAGGTGACTGAAAATCAGAAATCAAATCATCTATTATCCGATGATTTCTCCATAAAAATATTCATAAATCAATTTATATATTTATTATAGGATTTTACATTTTAATAATGGAGTTTACGTGGGATTTCTTCTGTTTACTCTGAGAGACCAAAGGTTATCTCAAAGATCCGACATAGCATGTGTCGTGACCGCGAAGTTACACGACGGCAGAGGAAACGGCCGTCAATCCTACCGCAAACGGACAAATGTGTACGAAACCAGGCACCTGGTCTTAATTACGCGTGGGACCTAAACGAACCTAACTCCGGTTAACTTAACGCCGTTAATTCCACGTGGTACTACATAAATCCGCCACACCATCCAGAATATGACACGTGTCTTCATTAGATACCGGTTGGTGGACTGGAGTTTTTTTCTCCAGCGAGAGAGCTCTCATTTGTTATTTATTTTGAAGTCCCTAATATAAAGATATTTACTTGTTAGACCCCAACTTTCTTAATTTATAGTCAAACCCGAAATTTTACGAAAAATCAGAATCAAACACTGAATTGTGAACACTGGTGGCAGTGACTTGTTCGATATATTTGTGATTTTTTTTTTTGCAAATAGATTTTAGGTAGAATTAGTTTCAACTTGAAAGGGATATATGATTTGACGAAACTACCCTTAGTTGAATGTTCGTAAAAATATGACGCCCTGAATGTGACATGTCGCATAATAGTTTCAAATTTCATGTTGGTCTAATTTTTTTTTTGGTATAATGTTGGTCTAACTTAATAAAAAAAAGCTCTTTTAAAAAAAAAAAATCCCAAGAAGTAAAACATGGAAACCTTCGTTAATCGTTCCCGAAGACTTTTAGCAACAAAGTTTATGGGTTCGTTAATTACGATTAACTTAATCTCCACAGATATTTAAATATACATATATATATATATATATATATATATATATATCGACAAATAGTTATAAAATATCCATTTAAAACAGATTAGGGGAGAAAGGTATTTAGCTAATTAATTCAAAATCAAAAGTTAGGAGCATAACAAATTACGTCAATGTTGGTTTGAGAGTACTCATCCTGTAAACGAGGTCGTGGGTTCAACACCTAGATTATAGAGATTTTCCTCCTGCCACCTTCGAGTGTTTCACATTCACGTGTGTGTTGTAGGGTCGTGTGCGTGGGTCGGGATTAGTCTGGATCTTTAGACTTGGGATCACCCGATTATATAAAAAAAACAAATTACGTCAATGTTATATAGCAAAGCAACCGATATCCCAAAGATATTCAAAGATTATTTTCAAAAAACATGCATATTAATATACTTTTCTCGGTAAAACTATAACATATTTTTGAAATGGGAATATAACGATTGGATTCGTTTTTACAAACTCCTTAATTAATTATTGGCACAGAAAATCCATGAATTAAACAAACAACACTAATTACATGTAACTAGTTTAAAATTAGTTGTATTTACATATAAAAAGTAAAAAATATCTTTATACTCCGTTGTTAATTAAATACAGGAGATTCGTTAATTATGTGAAATATTTTATTTCTATATATTAGGGAATTTGAAAATTTAATTTTCGGCCGTTTAACACATGGCTGAAACTTCCAAGTTAATAGTAAAACGGAATATACTTATTTTAAGAAGAAATGACGTTGAAACTGACCGAGTAACGGCTGTTCCGGTAACCAAGGGCGGACGCAATCGCGCAACATTTAAAGCCCGGATTCTAACCCAGGTTAATGTTTAACCGGCAACAACCGGTCCCACATTCTAGCTCTGGGCCCTACATTCAAACCTCTCTCTCGTCTCCACCGTTATAAGTAAACGTCTCAACCTCTTCCCTCGCTTTGCTCCTCTGCAGCTTGCTCTGTCTCTCTCTTTTCTTCGATTCGATCAAACAATTTTCGCATAACTTTCTTCTTCTTCAGTTTGATTTCTCTGTCTCGGTGACTCTCTGTGTTTCCGTCGCTTTGATTTTTTGAATACCGCGATTTTCCGTCCTTTTCTCGGGAAAATCTTGCTGTGATTAATCGACTTGGAACAGGTTTGTTTGCTGTTCTCCTCTTCCTCTTTCGATACTCGACTACAGTAGCCATGTTCAATTTTGGATGAAATTTGAGGGTTTTTCGCGCATGTATATTCTGTCGATTTCAATCATGGAGGGTTTTTCTAATGCAGGTTTGAAAATGGACAACTTTGATCTCGAGTACTTTGACGAAGACTATCAAGGAGTTATGGATTTCGGGGACGAACCCTTTGCCTTTGGAGAAGGCGATAACCTGAGTGAAATTGATTCGGACTCTGAGGGCTCGGACTTCGATGATGATTTCGAATTGGTATGCTGCTTCTGATCCCATTCACAGATGATAGCTTCTTCAGGGTTTTGTTAATTGGCTAGAATTTGTGATGGAAAATCATTCTATGGAATCCACAGAGTAAGCCGAACACTGATACTTGTGCGGCAGAAGCTAGGGATGGAAAAGACATACAAGGAATCCCTTGGGAAAGGATGAGTTTTACCAGAGACAAATACCGTGAGACAAGGTTGAAGCAGTATAAAAATTTCGAGAGCCTCTCCGGATCCCGTGAGGTGCTCGACAAGGTTGGTTCTGGCGATACAACCTGTGTATATTCCATGTCCGAATCGATGATCTGTTCTGTAAAATCTTCAGACTGGAAGAAGTTCTGCGTTAGGAGAAATCAGCAATTATCTTAGACTGACGATGGAGTTGTATGATGTTGGTGGCAGGAATGCTTGCAAGTGAAGAAAGGAAAGAACTTCTATGACTTCCAGTTCAATACGAGGCTCGTCAAATCCACAATTGTACATTTTCAGGTAGAGATCTTGCTCGTATATCTCATGCTGATTGATCTGTGATCTGTTTCAGTGTTTTGGGTTTGTGTTCGTGTCTGAATTCTCTTCTCGGATGCGAAAATGTATTGTGGTGAAGAACCAAGAAACTAGATAGGCTTAAACGAGTTGCTACTTTCACAATCTCAGAACTCTTCCTAACTTTTCAAATTTATAGATAATACGCATTCAATAGTTTACTCATGGACAAATATATTCTGTAATTTCAAGACTGTTCTTGGCGAAATCGGAAAATCTATCTTGTTCATGAAAATTGTTAGTATATCATACACTAGCAAATTTCATAGGAAGAAAACTCGGAATTGCTTTCACCGCTAATTAAAGCTTTGCATTTGGAAACCATACCTCTTATGCCTTAACCGGTTAACCTTTTTACCGCATTTAGGAAATGTATTTCTTCTTCTCTTGAGCAGGTTTCGGAGTTATATCTGTGCAGCTCGGCGCCCTAAGGAATAAGGATTCGTTTTTTTTAAACATATGGTATGATAGGAATATGTTCACAAGGACTTCTTCTCTAAACCAAAATCCATTCTTAGCAGATTTATTTCCTTAACAAGTTAGAAAAACTTGGCATGAGTTGCTTGAACCTGTCGTCGTATTTCGGTTCCATAAACTTCTGCTGCTTTCGGTTTTCCGACCCAAAATCCATTTTACATGCGAGATATCGCATCGTATTTTCCATTTGCCAATACCGTAATTTACTTCTGATGTATCGTATACCGCCTATCTCTGTGGTATTTGCTTTTCCAGCTGAGGAACTTGCTATGGGCAACATCGAAACATGACGTGTACCTTATGCAGAACTACTCTCTTATGCACTGGTCATCTTTGCTCCGGAGAGGGAAAGAAGTTCTTAACGTGGCAAAACCCGTTGTTCCTACACTGGTGAGCTTTTTTATCTTCGGTATCACTGTTCGTGAAATCTTTTGATCTTTCGTCGAAGCTGAAAAAACTGATTTTTGTGATCGAAAAATCCGCAGAAGCAAACGGGATCGTTGTCCCATTCGCTATCACGTGTTCAGATAAGTACAATGGCTGCTAAAGATAATCTGATCGCAGCCGGTGGATTCCAAGGGGAGCTTATCTGCAAGGTAACAAATTTCTTACGCAGTTTTTCTACCGGCAAAGCTATAGTCTTTTATCATAAGATTTCCCACTCTTTTTGCCTGTTCGATGAATTTCGCAGTTCGTTAACAGACCTGGAGTTGCGTTCTGCACGAGGGTTACGTCCGATGAAAATGCCATCACTAATGCCGTCGACATATATCACTCTCCCAGGTGAAAGCGATTTCTTTTTCAAGTCCTCGAACAGAAAAACATTTCGGAAGACAAAAAAAACTGAACTCATGCTGTTGTCTTAAGCAGTGGCTCGTTGAGGGTTATGATGGCCAACAACGACTGTAGGGTCCGTGTATTCGACGTCGGAAACTTTGCCTGTCTCAACGATTTCACCTTCGACTGGTCTGTCAATGTAAGACCGTAAAATTCCGTAAAATCTCATCATATCGTCTCTCTATTAAACTTTTCCGATCTCATATTTCCCGTCCAATTACGTAGAATGCCTCTGCAAGTCCAGACGGGAAGTTGCTGGCGATTCTCGGGGACAGTTCCGAGTGCTTGATAGCGGACGCTCAATCCGGGAAGGTCACATCCAGTCTCGAAGGCCATCTGGACTACTCGTTCGCATCGGCCTGGCATCCGAACGGTGTAGTCCTTGCGACAGGGAACCAAGACACAACCTGCAGGTAGGGATGGGCATGTCAGGTTTCGGTTATTTCGGTTTTGGGAGAAATCATAACCATTCGTTTTTTATATCGGATTTATTCAGTTCGGATCAGTTTGGTTATTCGATTATTAACCAAATTGTTCACCGACCTCCAGGCTGTGGGACATACGGAACATGTCGGAATCATTTGGTGTGATAAAGGGAAACATGGGAGCGATTAGGGCGCTGAGGTTCACGTCGGACGGGCGGTTCTTGGCAATGGCAGAGCCGGCGGACTTTGTCCACGTCATCGACACGGAGTCGGGTTACGAGCATTGCCAAGAGATCGACATGTTTGGAGAGATTGCGGGAATCTCCTTCAGTCCCGACTCGGAGGCTCTCTTTGTCGGAGTGGCCGACCGTACTTACGGCAGCTTGCTCGAGTTCAATCGCCGCCGTCACCTTCATTATCTTGATTCTATCTTCTTCTGATGCTTTAGTTAGAGTTTGTGTGTGTTTTTCTTCTTCTTCTTCTCCTGGCAGGAAAAAAAAACTTTCAAATGGAGAAGAAAAGGATCTAATACATAATTATGTTATAAGTTTAGTGTAATTTTTTTTATTTATTGAATTTTAATTTTAAATTTAACAAATAAATATACTAAATATTAGAATGTGTACAAGGATACTTTTTTTTAATGATATTATTGATACGTGGATAATTACTTTTCAATTTCGAGGGTTAGAGATATTTTAATCGTTTGATATATTTATTTATCAAATTAAATTTTTTTTTTGACCACCATAACAAAATTTATGGGGGTTTCCTTTGTATTGCCTGTTGCTGTCGTGGGTTCTGTATACGAATTTGTCTGTCTAAATGTATATAAGCAGGTAACGGAACTCTCTCTCTCTCGTTTTGGATGTTAATGGGCCTGTGATGGGCCTACGTTAATGGGTCTATGTCAATGGGCCTATGTTCATGGGTCTGTAGTTGACGGCCACTGAATTACCGTAGCTACCATCAGCAAGAGCTCATAGCAAAAAAAACAAAAAAAAAAAAAAAAAAAGTTGGATCCCCTTATTTCACGGTTCAACTTTAACCTTTTCTCGATTGGGTTTTGAAATTTGAATTTGCAAGTGATTACGTTACAAATTATTAATCAGCGTTAAATCGTACGGATATAGATAAAGAAAAATGCCCTTGGTAGGATCCCACCGGATTTAAATGCAATTAATTACAAAAAAATACCAAAGAAAACAAAACAAAGAAAGTTGGTTAGGACTTTTGTCCAAACTGAAAAAGTAAAAAACGAGGAACCGCGAAATACATTACATATGGTATAATACGATGAAACAGTGGTTAAATTAAGCTTTTATTTTGATTAAAGCTCATTTACAATGTGTAAAATTTTCTGTAGTTTTCACGTTTTTCATAAAATTTCCATACTGATGAATGCAGTAAACGCATTTTTCTTTTTCTTTTTTCTACTCCATGATCAGCATTTATGTGCCTCACGTGAACGATAGAATAGTTGGTCAAACATTTAAATATAAAAAAAAATATTGAAAATGGACCATATGGCACGTTATTCGTAGTGTCACGAAAATATAGATCTTGAAAAAATCGATGGACTTACTGGAGAATGGAGACAATTCACCTAATATTCACATGCAATCTCTCCCCCACTAAAAACGACGTCCAACTGCTCCGATAACGACACCCTCCTTCGATCCTACCAAAGCGTATATATATTATATTATAAATAATTTCACCCTTTTGATTCATAATCGTTATATTATATCTGTCATTTAATTCAAAGTTTTATAAAATTCTCTGTCTACTCGAATTATACGTATATCTTTGTTTTCTGTATATAAAGATTGCTGCATGGAAATTGTTATCATAAAAAAAATGTGAACTCTACGTTCTGAACCAGAAAATAAACCCTAATTCTTAAACCCTAACTGTCACGTGAAATCGGATTATATTTATGTAAAATTTCAGTATTCTCGAGGAATTTGTGTGAAAATAAAAACAAAATCAAGACAGAGCAACGTGGGAGTGAGACACAAGTGGAATAGGGTTGGTTACAGTTCACGAAGACCATACTCTGCAGAGAATCTAGAGATAGATTTGGCACAATCTGGGCCCTTGATTTGGGACAATCTGGACCATCGAATTTGGACACGTGGCAGTTCTATAACGGTCATATGACCAAAAGAGAAACCGCCGCGTTTGACGGAAACCGCGTGTAAGGACTTCTAAAAGAGACTTTAGGGATACTTCCATTCCCCGTGTCTTTTTTTTTTTCTTTGGTGGAATTAATTTTCAGTTCTTTTAAAAAAAAAACAATTAATATTCTTTTAGGCCTACAGTGGTTTTAATTTTAGGATTTTGGTTTTTGGTTTTTAGTTTTAAATTTTTTATTTCTGGATTTTATAAATTTGTAAATCTAAAAAATATGGCTTTTGATTTTTAATTATTATTATTTTTCATAAAATAGATTTTCAGGTTTTTAAGAAACTAAATTTAAAAAACTTGATTGTCGATTTTTTCATTTTTTGAAATATAAAATCTCCGAAAACTTTTTTCATTCAACACCTTAAATACCAAATAAATATTCACGATCTCCATTTTCGTAGGTTGTCTGGAATCGTAAGTTATAGAATATTTATAAGTTGATAAAATAATATCAGGGTATGTTTTCATATTTTTCCATGTTATTTAACAAATGAGAAATACAAAAATATAGTTAACAAAAAAGAAATACAAAAATATCCCCCAATGTGGAATTGCACAAAATAAAATAAAAAAATAACGATCCACAAAAACGTACGACTCGCACGCACAACCATGCATCAGTAGATGTGAATTTGAGGTAATTCGGAGCCTACGTGGGAAATTTATATTCAAGCAAATTGTATCATATTGTATTCTCTGATATTTTCAAAGTTTTGACTGTTGAATCGAAGTTTCACAAAAAAAAAAAGTTGATATTTGTATAATTTTGTCCACATTTATAAATTTCACTATAATTATCTGACTAATCAACTGAGTTATGCGCATACAAAAAAAAAAAAGCAGATCTTAACTCTTAAAATGCTGATTTCTGAAATATTTATTTAAATTGGCGAAAATTTAATACTTAAGTTTGATGTAAGGTTAATGAGCATTAATATTTTGCAGCATACAGATTTGAGTGAAAATTATTATTAAAAAAATTTAAAAACAATAATAATAAAAAGGACAGATGTGCATTAGTTAATGAAGGAAGAGAGTTGTCAAGTTTAAAGACAGCTAAGCAAATGCATTTGACATTTCACGTCCCCGGTCGACATGCTCCGATACTTATTCCGATTATTTTCGTTATTCCACATTTAGGAATAATCATTAACATAATTAAATTCATAACTATTGAATTCAAATCTCACAAATAACTGTTTGGAAATAAAGTTTGCTTTATTATTATGATATTACGGTTACAAAGATATGCATATATACGTTAACAAAAAAAAAAAAGAGATATGTATGCATATATATATATATAGAATGAAAAACAATACAAACATGTCAATACACCAATAATAACAACTCATTATAAAACGTTGTGAATAATTGTATACAAATTCCCTTATATATTATACATAATATATTAAATAACTCATAATTAAGATATCATAAATTAACATTTCAGACAAAATAAATAACAATAACAGACCCCCGATTTGACGGCTCCATGAAAGGCCTGAAGACTTTCTTCTTCCGCCGCCACCGCCGCAAAAGATGAACCATTCGTTCTGCGGTGTCACGAGCGACGCACGTGAGCCTCCCTTGATCAACAAAGTTCCTCCTAATTATTTGTACCTTTTTTTAATTGTTACGAAATATTGATGAAAACTATATACATACATATATATATATATATATTGTATCGTAATTAATGGGTTGTTTGCGATATTATCCTACAAACCGTTGACTAATGAACTTCATTTTTTATATCTCTATTAGTGTTGTATGATAACAATAGGAAGATGTAAAAAATATAGTATTTGAAGACTATAAAGTCCAGCTCATTATCACGATATATAATGAGATATATGCATATAGATATATATATATGAATGTATGTGATAACAACAAGCATGTGATAACAACAACCATGCAACACCCAATTTGAATAGTTCAACCGATGAAACGGAGACGTAAAACGTCTGTCTCGTCTCGAGTTTGAGTCTTAAGTTAGGGAGAGAACGTATAATTCAAATCGCATGGTTGATTCACAGCCCCAATATTAATCTAGACTTCGGCCCAAGATGCTCGGTTATAAAAAAACAACAACAGCAATGCAACGTCTTATATGATGTGGAAAACGGTAGACACTTAATCAACAAATAATTATTATATGAACAACATAAAATTAAGAGTTTGGTATTTGGTAGAATTCTTTGGCTGTTGAAGATTTTATAAATAAAAAAACAAGCGGAATTTAAACAATATTTCTTATGAAAGAATTCGGTAGAAAGAAAGAAAAAACAAATAATATCTAAAACTATACAAATAAATAAATAAATGAAATATTTGATCCGAGAATAACCTAATCTTGTTCAATTTTCGGTATTTTTTTTTTTATGTTTTCGTGCCTCCATACATCTAAATAAAACTTCAATTGCACCATTCCTCCAATCGATCAATCAAAATTATATTGAGATAATTAGCCCGACAACGCCATTTGCATTAAAAATTCGTCAGTGTCTGCGCTTGCGAATATTAATTATATATAGTTTGGACATACTATATACCATGATCGGAATAGGATATGTAACGAGATAAGATGATGAGTAAGTGGACCTACGATAAGCATTTTTTAAATTTAAGAATTTAAATGTGACATAATAAAGATGGTAATGGACTATCGGTGGAGGTTCCCCACCATTCATTCCTAACCTCTCTAGAGACTTCTTTTCATTTTCTTCGTGGAATTGCTACAAAGTCTAAACCACCCACTATAATTATTTAACATAATATCACATCATACACACCGCCATTAATATAATGCTTAGCAATCATTTACGATATTGTAATATAAGTTTTCATTATAATTGTATCGACTGTTCAATCGTATCTCGATATTGTAATATAAGTTTTCCGTCTAATTTCAGTCCGAGATTAGTCTGGACTTCGGTCCGAGATACTCGGTTATCAAAAAAAAGTTTTCCTGTCTAATTTAGAATTGTTAATTATCCCCGTCTTTTTAGGGAACATATAAAATAATGACAAAATAGATGGTTAATTATCTAATATCATGATGTAATGATAGGAAATGAAAGGATAATAAAGATAAATATTAAATCATCTGCAAAATGTCAAAACTAAAAAGGCTTATATGAGTTTGGTGATCCATAATAATAAAAAATATCACGACCGTTTTTTGGAGCTGCATGCCCCATGCCTTTCTATATAACCTTATCTCTTTCATTAATTATTACCAAACCGATATAATGTATTATTTAATTATATTTAATAATTAGTATTTTCATATAAATGACGAGATAAATGAAACATCTAAAAAGTATATAAGAAAAACTAAATTATTAAGTTATATGAACCACACTAACCACACATGCAATTTTTTAGTGTTTTGATGCAATAATCGCATAAATTGGTGTATAAATATTCGGAATATGTATTAAAGTTACAATATACATAAGATTTGACGAACCGTACATGAAATAAACATGTATATACACCATATTGCACCCTTTAGTTCATATATATATTGTAACAAAAATACTACGTATAGTTAATAATTGAACATAATGATGATAGTAAGCACAGTGTGTGAATGCTAAAGCAGATTGGTCAACAAAAACGGGTGTGATCATTAACTTCCACTGAAACGTGTAATGACATGTCGACACGTGTCCGAAACGTGGCAGTTAGTGTGATACGCGTCGTCTTTTCATTGGCTGCATGTCATTTCTCGACCGGCTCCCTCTTTAGACATGTCATTTTTTTTGTTAGCCTATACATGTCATATTTTTTAAAAAATTAATGGATTTCACATTTGTTTTTCCTAAACTGTTTGGTATCATTTTCTATGGTCGCTAGATGTCATATTATTATTTTTATTTTTCTTGCAAATTGTATCATGCATTCCTTGAGAAATTAATATTATGTTTAAATTATGAGATATTTAGAGAAATTTCGTTTTACATAGCTATATATATATTTTTTTCATTTGATCGATGTATACATTAGAGAACAAAAGCAGACTTTTTTTTTCATGAAAAATACGCTTTTAAAAGGGAATATTCGGAGGTAAAAAGAACCCGAGGCTAATTCACAAGAGATAATAATATATATCTTTAACAATACGTTGCTTCCAAAAATATATATATATTATAAAAAAGACAAAATTACAAGGAAGACAAAAAAAATAAATTAAATTAATAGTAACAAAAATAAAAATATAGAAGAGATAATTAAAGCAAGGACACGCTACGTCCATTATATAAAGAGCGCCAAGCTAGTGAGATAAAGGGCATCGGTGAGTGAGTGTTTTTCTCCATCACACAAAAAAAGAGAGAGAGAGAGAGTTTGAGTGTCACAAAAAAAAAAAAAAAATTGAGCGTTTTTTATTTTTCTCCTTGAATTTTATTTCCGTGCATTTTCACCCCTGTTTTCTAGAAAGAAAATTGGAAATCGATTTCTGGGTTTTTTCTCGATTGGTTTAATCTGAAAATTTATTTGGAAGACCAAGCTTGTGAAATCTCGATTTGTTTTCTAATATTCTGCCGATTTCAGTATTTTTCTGTGTTTTTTCTGTTTTTTTTTTGTAGATTAAATCGTCTAGGAGGGTAATTTTTGATCCCTCAATCTCGGATCTGCACAGAGGTTGCATATTTTAGACCTCTTCGATCCATCTTTTATCAGAAATTCCTTTTCTTTTTGCTTTTAACAAGATCAAGGAAGTTTCTTCTCAAAGATTTGTACTTTGTTTTTTTCTAGATTTTTGTAAGATTTTCCTCTGAATGGCAGCAGCTATGGAGTTCTACAACAATAGTAGCAGAAGAATTCAACGTTCGGATCCCTTTGGTGGTGAACTCATGGAAGCGCTTGTTCCTTTTTTTAAAAGCCCTTCCCCTTCTTCTTCTTCTTCTTCTTCGTTTCCCTCTCCTTCTCCTTCTTCTACCTTCGGATCTTTCCCGGAAATCTGTTCGACGTCCATGGCCCACCCGTTTTCATTTGGGTCGGATGTCCAGCTACCCGGGTTGAACCCATCTTCTCAGATCCAGTCCCAGATCGACCTCCATGGCTACGGGTTCCCACTTCCTCACAACCAAGGCGGCTCCTTTTCGAATCTCCTCGGCCCGAAACCGGTCCTCATGAAGAACCCAGGTTCCATCGGGTCGGGTTTCGGGTTCGGGTCGGGGCAACCGCCGAAGCCGACGAAGCTGTACAGAGGGGTGAGGCAGAGGCACTGGGGCAAATGGGTCGCTGAGATCCGTCTTCCCAGGAACCGGACTAGGCTCTGGCTTGGAACCTTCGACACGGCCGAGGAAGCCGCCCTCGCCTACGACGAGGCGGCTTTCAGGCTCCGCGGAGATTTCGCTCGCCTGAACTTCCCCTCCCTCCGCCACAGCGGGTCCCAAATCGGCGAGTACCAGCCGCTTCACTCCTCCGTCGACGCTAAGCTCGACGCCATTTGCCGGACTTTGGCCGAGACCCAGAAGCAGGGGCGGTCGGAGAAGCAGCCCCGGAAGAAGTCATCAACGGCGAAGCAACCGACGCTGGAGAAAGTGAAGACGGAGGATATCGCGGTGGCTGGGTCGCCGCCGGCAGCGGAGAGCGACGGATCCGCCGGGTCTTCGCCGTTGTCGGATCTGACCTTCGCGGACTCCGACGAACAGGGGCAGTGGAACACGAATTTCGCCCTGGAGAAGTATCCGTCGTACGAGATCGATTGGGAGTCTATTTTATCTTCCTGAACGATGGTGTCAGAATGTGTAATTGTTGTTTGGGTAGGGGTATTTAGGTAATTAGAGGCTTCCGCAATGGAGTTTTTGGTAATTGCAGGGTGGCCATTAGGTGTAATGTAAGAGTCGTGTCAAATCTCAAATTCGGTCTTGCTGTGTTTTTTGTCATGCACGACCGGACGAGATCCATTGTACTTTTTGTCTTCAGTTTCATTTGAGTTAATGCATGTTTTTTAAGTTTATGTAATATAATATCCTGAAATCGTGTGTTAATAATGTGTTCAGTAAATCTGTTAGATGTTCGAACAGAGTAAAAATAAACGAACGATAATCTAATTTTGTAAATCTATTAGATGCTCAATTGTTTGGCAATCTTAATTTTGTATTTCATCTTCTTTTTTTAAAAAAAAATAAATGTTAATTAAAAGTAATTATTTTACCATGTCTTGCAAACGGGATCATCTTCCTTGATGCTTGATGGACGAGGGAGAATGGAATTTGATGCATTCTTGTTCCCATGATGATGATGATGATGATGATGATGATGATGACAAGAGAAAATGTATGAGAATTTCAATTTACGCAAGAGGAAGATAAGATTGTCAAGGCACGCCTTCGAATGGACCACAAAAGATTATGTTCACACCTCTTCCACATAATTGGCCTAATTTCCAATTTTGAGGTCGCAGATGTACGGGATATGGACACGTGGTACGGTGTGTATAGAAATAATAGTTACCAATGTATACAAAATTAAATGACTTATTTTTTTCGACCTTATTCCGAAAAAAATAACAAAATAAAAACGATTTTTTTTAAAATGACTAATTTTGTAAAAAAACTGTGAATTTGATATAGAATCGAAATGATTATAACTTTTCTACGGTCGGAATATGATTGAATAGAGAACCAGAGATGGTGATCTATAGTTACAAGTCTACTTTCAATATTTTCATTTTAGCCCCCTACATTTATAAATTTACACTTCTCGTCTAGGGCTTGAAATGCAAGCCTTTTAGGCCCAACATAAAGCCCAATCGTTTGTCGATGATGCAATCATATGGTCAAATACGAAATTCGTTTCATTTTCATTTTTATTTTCACATAAGAAATCCGATTTCAATTCAATTCAATATCTACTGAAGCATTTCTAGATAGGGTTCGTTGAAGTTTTCTTTAATTGGAGCTCCCCATCATTTATTTATTAAGCAAAAAACAATTATAATTTGCAGAAAAAAGTATATTCCGATTTAATAATGGGTCGTCATAAAAAATTTAGATATAGTTTTTGTCATACGGTGTTGCTCATATTTTATCAAGGTTGAGACTATAAGATTTGATTCGGTGCTTACCTTGAATATTCTGATTCGCTTATGCCAAGATTTTCTTATAGTATAACTCAATCAAAATCCAAGCCAAATATTCCCGACGATGATTCTTATTTTACATGCATTATTTAGTATCGTTAAAGTTTAGAATATCATATGTTTTTTGATTAATGTCGAACCAATCATCTATAATTTTTTTTAAAGTAATTGTTTGGAAGATTAGATGCCTACGTTTATAGTAATCTTTTTTTTTTTTAATAATATGGCTAGATAAATCCCGTCCCACTGCACGAGCCCGCGACACACGATGGGGATGCGAATCGACCGTAATCGACAGACGACAGATGCGTTAGCTAGAAGTCGAATCCACAATTTTAGGGTATGAAATAAACTCCCTTATAGTAATCGAATAAATACATGATCTGATGAGAAAATAAAAAAATAAATATATATATATATATGAAGCTAGATATTTTTTTAATGTATAATTAATAAGAACACAACATTGAATGATAAATATATGAAAATGTGGGTGGTTTTTTTGGATATATTCGAATATTTGAACGGCATATATCATAGATTATGTAGAAGATTTAGATTTCCAATATGAAACACTTAATTAAATTAAAAAAAAAATTAGAACGAGCATTCATGCATCTATCCGAATCGGAATCTTGGAATTGCGAACACAACATTTTAACTTTGAATGATTTATTATCAAAAATGGAAAAGAGAAATGCGATGTGAATAATGGCGTTTCCACACACACACCCCATCCAAAACGAATAATCTCGCCTCCGCTTCTTCGTGGGACATTTCCACAAACGATATGCACAAATATCACACACGCATATATATATATATATATATATATATATGTATGTATGTATATGTATAAGGAAAAGACTCAGAAAGAGGAGGTGGGGGTACAGTGAGCTTTTTGTAGTGGGCTTAGCACTATGGGCATATATGTTGTGGGCCCCCTGTTGAATCATTGCCAGACCAATATTTCACGTCGCATCATTATAAAAAGAATAAAAGGGCCTACAATAATTATTGCTCATTATTATAAGTAACATAAAATCCAATTTCAATTAATAATAATAATAATAATAATAACAATTATTTCATTGTAGGCGCCGCCAATAACGAAAACTGCAACCGAAAGTCTTTGTTAGTTTCTTTCAGTTGGTTTCCTTAAAACCTATTCTGTCTGTACAGCTTCACTTAGATTTTTCTTTCCGTTTTTGGAAAGTTTTGCTGTTTTAGGAGTAAATATTGTTACTCCATTATCATATTATTTACAAAAAAAATTATTTACCATGGGATATTACTATTAATTGAAGTTTCGAGGGGTAATATCATACCTTTTTTTTGGGGGGGAAACTCAAATAATCATTGTGTTGATCTCGATTTCAAATATTTGTTGATGATTTTAGTTTATTTATAAAAAGAAATGTTCTAATCCATTTAAAATGGAATGTGGTTTTGCAGCATTTTCAAATTTGGAGACATCAATATTCTTTTGAATTTTTTGGTTTTTTTTTTCTTCTTATCATCAATTTTTTTCGGATTGTTTGTTTTTTTTTTAATAATGTGACGTTTTTTTCTTCTTCAATTTGTTCTCTTACTATTTATTGGTTAATAAAAGATGGTGCACGCATGCAAGAAGACAATGATAAAATGGCTTTATGATTGATTTGATTGATTATTTATTAATTTATATTAATAAATTTTGGAAATTTAGTCGACAAACTTTGTAAGTATAACATTTAATTTAGTTGGGTATGACAGAGAGCTTAGTGTGTAACACAAAAAAGGGGTAATATAATGGAAAAATGCATCCATTAATTATAAATTGAGCAATGAGAAAAACAATAATCCCAAATTATAAATCTAATTGGTTTGACAAACCAAGATAACATTTGTTTTTTATGCCACTCCCCACCCAGAAAGGAAGATCTCAAAGTACAATTTACCGGTGGATGTTATGGTTCAAAATTATATATATATATATATATATATATATAATCTGTACGGATACCTAAATTAAACGTGATAGTTATATTGGTTTAAACCTAAAATCAGATCTGTTCGAAGTTGTTAATTATTGAAACACACCTTGCTGGAACTTGGAAATAATGCGGAATGAATTCCCTCCTAAGTGTCCGAGACATTAATTGAATCCGTCATCTAACAAAAAAAAATTACGATGTCCCGCATTAATTGCAGAGTTATAATCAATTATTTATTTCATATTCCAAATATATATATATAGTTACAGTATATATTATCGTATACATGTTATGAACCGACTAAATTCGGATAAAATTGACGGCAGCGAATAATTTATTCGGGTTTGTTATGAAAAAAGATAGATATGATATTATTCCTTAAACTTTTAAACAACATGTATAGTTGACCTATTGATTATGAACGAATTTTAAAGCGAGATATTGTATCACTTGAAATATACTCTATGCGTTGGTCCATTAGGAATATTGGTATCCATCTCCTACTCTCCAAGTTGAATTCTTGTTTAGGGTTTTGGGTTGGTCACCGATAGATATGATCGCATTTGAATCGGATTCAATATAAAAATAAAATAAAATAATTTTTAAAAAATAAAAATAATTTTTAAATACATATTTTTATTAATAATAATTGATTTAATATTTTTGTTTAAAATTTTAAATTACAATTTGAAAGAAAAATGAATAATAGTAGCTAGAACACCGTTTTAATTTAAATTTCGGGAGAATTGAATGCGAAGCTACATGAAAATAAAAGAGATGAACATAGAATTTCAACAAAACAAGCATTGGGATATACGTGTGTATATTTTATAAACATAATTAATGGGCGGGGGATAATTAGTAATAAAACGCACACATGAATATAAATCGGGACTGGGAACCAAGGAACTGGTTTTGTCGTGGTCCTACATGGATATGCTCCATCTGTAGTTATCCTTACTTCGACTTTGGACTGTATGCGAGACTTGTGAACTACTACTGATCATATGTGTATGTCTTCACGTGAATATATATATATATATATAT